AAGGGCATCGCTACTAGGAGCAAGGACGCTACTAGGGGCTCCTGGCCGTACTACTAGGGAATGAACATCACAACCCGTGGTCACGAGTCTGAAGTCGTAGGGAGTCGTAGCGAGCATTGACGTCTTTCTTTCTGGTTAAGACTTTCCTTTCCCAAAGCCCTTTGTTCCTAATAGCGATGCCAGGAGCCCCTAGTAGCGTCCTTGCTCCTACAAGTACGGTCAGGAGCCCCTCGTAGCGTCCTTGCTCCAAGTAGCGATGCCCTTTACTTTCCTTTTCTTTCTCTTCTTTCTTCCAACCTAATTGCGATGGCCTCCAACCGAATGAATAGCGATGGCCTCGAATCTGATAGCGATTGTACCACCCTTTTCTTTCTTTCTTTTGTTCTTGTCTTTTGCTTCTGTCTTTCTTCTCTTCGTGTTCATTTTCGGAAGTGACATGAACCGTCATGCCTTGGCAGAGAGCTCTGCAGCAGTCGGCATCGGCCTCTAGATATATCAGATAAACAGAATCCTCATCTGTCTGCTTAATTGCATGTATTCAAGACACACACACACACCCCCAACCTGGACATAAAGGCCTGTGCCAAGGCTTGCAAGTGTCTGGCACAGGTTGATTGAAGCGCAAAGCAGTGTCGTCGGCTTGTATAGTGCTGCAAGTTCTTTTTCGGACAATTTTTCTGCGATGTTTATTGCTCATACTAAGGAGCACGGTCGATGTTTATGCGCTAGTTTGACTGTCTTGTCTCGACAATTGGCAGAAATGAGGAGTAACAAGGACGCTACTAGGAACAAAGGGCGTCGCTACTAGGAGCGATCGGACGCTATGAAGGGGGCTTGAATTTGACCTGCAAAATGCCGCGGGTGAGCTATGAGACACAAATTCTAAACACCCTCACACCTCAAAGTGTGTCCCAATCCCAGTAAATGTAATTCTTGATGGAAGCATAGAAGCACTCCTATTGGAGACAGCCATCAAGTCCAGCCGCGAAGGCGAGCACGGCAAGCATGGTTCGCTAAGGAATGCTATTGGTAGTAAGGAGTAGTGAGGACTTGGGACATGTGCAAACTTGAGGACCTCCACAGGGCAGGCATGTCAATGATATGAGGCCAGGCGTTCCTTTTTCCCATCTGGAGTTGTCCATGGATGGTCCGGCATGTCCAGAAAGCATTGTTTCCGAGCGAGAGATCAATGATTGAACAATGTCACAAACACAACAATCGTAAAAGCACAGTAGCAGGTGCATCGCTAGTAGTAACAAGTGCCTTACTAGTAGTAACAAGCACCTCAAACCTGGTCTTCACGATTCAGCTCTTTTGACTTGAGGCACGTGTTTCGTTGTTTGTGCTTTTCGCACATTTTCACCACCTCACCTCACCACCTCCGAAACAAAAAACAGGTTAAACAGGTTAAACACCTCATTGATCCACTCAGCCGTAGCTAGTGCTCAGGGTCCCGTGAGACTTCTCCGACGCAATCGCCACCTCTGTCTCGGCCTCCGAGTGATGCTCCGCAACACACTTCGCTTCAAGCAACGAGGGCATCGCTACTAGGAGCAAAGACGCTACTAGGGGCTCCTGGCATCGCTACTAGGAAAACTTCAAGTTTCTTTTTGTTTTCCTTTGATTTGTTTATTTCCCAAGTCCTCACTAACCTAAAAGCAATGGCCTCCAATCTACTAGCGATGGCCTCGAACTTGTATTACAAAGAATTGAACACTAGTACCTGGCATGAATCATGATTTTTTTTGTATGAGAATGTTGCTATGCTTGGCCTCCAATCTACCTACCTGGATTGCCCAACTGGTTCGATCTCTGGGTCTGCCACTTCCCCATCTTCGCCCTTCACCTCATGGCCGCTTCCATGCCGCTATCGGGTGAGTTTGCAATACCTAAATCCGTTTGGGAAAAAAGACAAACACAATTAAAAGAAACCTCAGGTTGAAATCAGAAAACACAATTAAAAGACCTTCTAGTTGGTGGTAAGTGGAGTTGCTTTCAACCGAAAGCCTTGGCTGCCCTGCACAGCAATTGAACTCCATCTGCTCTAAGCTGTCAATATCCTGTGCAAAGTGTCTTCTGATGCACCAAGAACGACAGGCTGTTCACTTCCCCATATCAACAATAATACAAGACTTGTTCAACAAAAATCAATTGTTCAACAATAGTATGAAGAAACATACTTAAAGGAATCTAAGGACATGACTATGCTCACTCGACTCCTCTTTGCAACAGTGCATGATTGAAAATAACAGCGACACTAGAGCTGTAGGGCAAACTTCAAGGATGTCCCCCTAAAATACACAGAACTAAATCACGGCTGCATGGGTTCTTGCTGAAAGAAGCTGCCTGTACTAGAATCATTGGAATTCGGGGTAGTCACACCATTCCTTCAGCCGAACATAGTAAGCATACAAGCTTCATTTCCACGTAGGAATTCTGCGCCTCCGCCTCACAGATAATCTCAAGTACGGAGATGTCCTGGTGCAAGCGCCCCACATCGAGAATGTAGATACCACCAAAGCATCGCTGGTAGTAACAATATAGATTAATTAAGACTTCATGCGGCTTCTGTATATACTTATATTCGTAATTTTTCAGTGCTATTTATCAACATGCTAAAATGTGCGAACGTCTTCTTAAATATCCTCGACTTCTTAGTTGTTAGCCAGGAGAACATTTGCGGAAAAGAAGGTGTCTGCAGTTACCACATCACTCCACTGCATCTAATCGTCAAACTTTATTGGACCTTTCTTCCTTTTCTTCTTCATCTTCTTCTCTGTTTCTAACAGCGATCGCCCCCAACGTAATAGCAATGGCCTCCAACCTAATTACTGGCGATCGCCTCCAACCTGAAGTTTCCCTAAAAGTCTCGGAACCAAATGAATAGCGCGAGCTATCCTGCGTCCTAAGTAGTAGCTATTTAAGCTACTAGCTTCTCCCTTACTAGCTACCTCTAGCTACTACTAGCGCTTCCCTCTATGGAGGACCCCCCTCAAAATAACGACAAACAAATTGCTATATTTACTGCAATATTTTGCATGTTTGTCGATGTTGTTTGGCCTTCTGTCTGTCTCTCGCGACGTCAGAGGGCTTCTCTGGCGCATAGAGCCCGGCCTGACAGGAAGACTATTGAATTGAAGACGGGGTCAGCGTTCTTTCTTTCTTCGGGACGTCTCTGACATGCAAGAACGCTAAGAACGCCTGAGTGAAAGGATCTTATCCATCTCCATTCCTCTTTCTACTCTTTAGGACCGATTTCACTATTCCTTCAGTTCAATCTTTTGCATTTTTTGGACCTAAAGGAAGCTCCCCCCACCCTTAGAAGGGGGAAGCTTCCTTGAAGCGTGAGCTATCCGTCCAGTTACTGGAAGACTAGTCGCCTTGAGCGAACTTCTCCCTTACTTAGTAGCTTCTTGCTCCTGGGAGCAAGGACGCTACTAGGGGCTCCTGGCCTTACTGCTAGGAGCAAGGGCGCCACTAGGGTACTTAATTAAGGAGTGGGCTAAAAACGGCGGAGGCCATCGCCATTAGAAACAAAGAAAAAAGAAAAGGAAGACAGGTCTGATATAGCTTGCTAGTAGGATCTCCACGCCCCTGTCCATCTCTTGAAACATTATTTTAGGGCCCAAGCCATTCGCAGTGCTCGATACACACGCCAGCCTAAAAGACACGTGTCTATCCAAGGTAAGGATCTATCCAAACAAACACATCATGAAACACATTGTTTTACATTATTTCATAACATAGCAAACACAAGCAAAAACCATGACTCAAAACGCTACTAGAAGCTACTAGTAGCTCCTGGCATTACTATTAGTAGCAAGAAGCTAGCAACAAAAGGGCATCGCTACTAGCAGCTAGAAGCTACTAGTAACAAGCGGAGGGTTTGTGCTTCTGAGAACGCCGCTGGATGCGCACAGCGCAGTTTGCAATGCCACGGAAGCCAACAATGCCCACTGAGTCAGGGATTCATGAGCTGTACATCTTCTCTTCAAAGAAACGAAACATGTTTTCCTTGTTTTGTTTCTTCTTAATATTCACTCTTGTATTTTTTGTTCTTTAGACCTTAGATTTTTTCTGTAAGTTGCCCTTGCTTCTGAACTTTCCACTTCGGACTTCCTAAATCTTTCTTGCTTCCTTCCTTTTCTTGTTGAAAACAAACGATTCATCTCAAGAAAGCTCGCTAAGGCAGCGCATTCTCCACATGCTCTCCACATGCCTCCCAAACGCCAACCATGGCTTCCAGGACATCCACAACCCTGAAGCACGCGTCGCAATGGCATCCGTCACAGCTAGTAGTTTCTCTCTTTCTCTTACAAAAGCTTACGGAATCTTTATTGACCGAGTAGCTCCAAATATAGCTCCTGGGTTGAAGGCCATCGCTTCTAGGTTGGAGGCCATTGCTAGTAGGTTGGAGGTCATCGCTTCTAGGTTGGAGATCATTCCTAGTAGGTTGGAGGTCATCGCTTGCAGGTTGGAGGCCATTGCTAGTAGGTTGGAGGCCATTGCTAGTAGGTTGGAGGTCATCGCTTTAGGTTGGATGTCAATGCTAGTAGGTTGGAGGCCATCGCTTCTAGGTTGGAGGTCATTGCTA